CAATAGAATAGGGCATAAGTTTGAGAACTGCAGGAAGAGGGGTGGTAATAAAGAGATTACCACTAAACGAAAAATGGAATGGAGGCCTAAGGTCAATGATCATGTCAATATACCAAATGAGAATCAAGAACCTGAAGTGGGACAGNACCTTCTGGCAGAAGAAGGGACTGAAGTGGCAACAAAGACAGAAGTTGAGGATGAAGGTTTCATTGAAGTTAGTAAAATGAAGGCTTCCAGAAGAACCTCTTTGGAAGGCAAAGAATCAGACTATATTGGGCTGCTACACAAGGATCTCAGTCTAGCCCCGTATAAAGGGCACCTCCTTCTTATTATGATTGGTTGTTGGAATATTAGGGGTCTCAACAGCATAAATAAATAGTATGAAGTCAGTAATTTCATCAGCAAGAATAAAGTGTCTGTCATGGGCATACTAGAGACAAAAGTAAGAGATTGTAATTATGATATGGTAGCCAGAAAAATAGTGAAGGGATGGAATTTCTTTATAAACAATAATGCTCACCCACTTGGGAGAATATGGATTATATGGGATTAGAATAGAGTGAATATGATGATCCTTGAGATTACTGATCAAGCAATTCACTCTTAGGGGAAAATAATTGGAGGGTATCATGAGTTTTTCTTAACTTTTGTTTATGCGCACAATGATCAAAATAAAAGGAGGGAATTGTGGAAGAATCTGAGTAAATACAAAGTTCCTTCCCCTTGGTGTGTATTAGGTGACTTTAATACGATTCTTCATGTGGAGGAGAAGATAGGGGGAACTCAAATAAGCAGGGAGCAACTCCAGGGTTTCTAGGAATTCTTTAATGACTGTGGGCTTGATGACCTTCCTTATGAGGGACCTAAGTTCACATGGAGTAATAACCAAGGGAATGGAAAAAGGATATATTCCAAGCTAGATAGAGTGTTTGTAACGCCCTACAAACCGGCCTAACAGCTAGTCAATATTTTAAATAAATAAATATTATTTATTTACTGAGACTCATTATTTTAATTAATAAATATTGAGATTTTGATCTCTTAAAATGATTTCCAAAGTTAATGTATTGTAATTATAAAAGATGTTTTAATAACGGGTCTCTCAACATTAATTAAGTAAATAAACTAATTAATGTTTGGGATGAATCCGGAAGTTTGAAAATAAAGTTTTTGGAAAACTATTTTGAAGATATCATAAATTTAGTTTGGACTGTTTATTTCCGAAAACGCGATCGGTTTTCAATTCGGACCCGTTCGGGGGGAAACCGCGTACCGTTCAAGTCAAATTTTACACAACGGAACGAATTTAAGGGAGGTAACCTCCCCATTCATTTCACATGCCACTCAACACCCACTCACACACATTCATGCCCATTTAATTCCTTCATTATTTCTCATTATGGTACCCTTTCAATTTAAACCCAACCCATTCCCTTCCTCCACCACATTTGTAACTCCCACATACACACAACCCTCACTCTCTCCCTCTCCCCATTGCATTCGGCCACACAACAGCTCTAGGAGGTTTTCCGGAGAGTAGACGGGGAGGTAGAAGAGGAGAAGTTCACATGAGAAGACATACGTTGTTCGTCATCCACCGTTCGTCCGTTCGTTAGACGTCCGTTCGTTCATCTCGTTTCATCGTTCCATCAACCCCTTCGTTTAGAGGTGAGTACATTGCCCTCTAACATTAGAATTCATAGTATAATCATATCGTTATATTCATAATATTACCCGGGTAAACCTACGTGTGTCCGCATTATCATGGCTTTACCGTTATTTAGACTTTTCGATTACGAACTCGTTAATATAAACGTTTTGAAACTCCGTATATTCATGGAATACTTAATGTGAAAACATAAACGTTCATTTCAAAAACTCCCAACGTATTGATGATAATCAAACAGTAAAAATGGGAATCAGCGTGCCTTGATAATCGATATACAGAACGGAATAATCGGCTATCAGGTCACGCTGAACTTCTGAGTTGATCCAGCATAGTGTGACAATCGATTATCACATATGTGATAATCGATTATCAGACCCTGTGGATTCTCAAGTCAGAGTTTGGGTTCACTGATAATCGATTATCACAATATAATAATCGATTATCAGGCCTCTCTGAACTTTGATTTTTCCGAATAAACAACATGACAATCGATTTTCAGAAGGTGACAATCAACTATCACAAGCTGCAGGACTTTGGGAACAGAAGCTCCAATGCGTGATAATCGATTATCATGAAGGGATAATCGATTGTCAGCCAGTTCTGAACCCAAGCCATCATTTCGTACAAATTATTTCATATGGAATCAAACTTATATGTATGTGTTGAACTTAATCTCATTCATCAAGCAATGCATTGATTTCATCACGTACATTCTAGATGCATGTTCAGGATCATGACATACTTTGCATACCACGACAAGAGGTCAAGCCTAGTGCGCCTCTTCCGTGGGCCTGTCCAGGAACCTTCGGGATCCAACGGGTTTCACATACTGCGACAAGAGGTCAGGCCTAGTGCGCCTCTTTGGCGGGCCCGTCCAGGAACCTTTGGGATCCAACGGGTTTTATCAGGAGGGCTTGTGTAGGTACATGGTAGCTAGGCTTAGATATCACCCACATTCTAGGCTCCTTCCGGAGACTAAGGCGTTCCTCGACTTATCTATCGCGTGGTGATGATCACCGAACTACAGGGGCGTCCCTGCGCAGTCTAACTCATGCATCATGAATTATTTGGCATTGCATTATTCTATATTTTGTAACGTTTATCATTGTTCATCTTGTTTATCAAACTCGTATGTGGTATCTCGTACTTTAGTACAGGTGCAATTATGATTATATCAATGTGAATGTACTATGCGTTCTACTGTTATATTACCACTCAGCTTTTGCTGAGCGTATAACGTTGTTTTCTTTGTTATACGCAGGTAGGCAAGATAATCATGGAGCCTGACCCGGATGATTGGGAGATTGGGGCGGAGGATCGACGTTAGTGGGAATCAGATTTAATTCTATTTAATATTCACAACGTTTTGGGCATGAACCCACCGTTGTTGCACTTACTCTATTTATGACTTAACGTTAAATGATTACATTTGCTTCCGCTATAAAACGTTTATTTTAAGTGAATTTAATTTCATCATTTAATAAAATATATCAAGGGGTTTTCAGTTAGAAGCAACACAAGGGTTTTTCTGTAGACGGCCTTAAAACCGTCTACGTAACTTCTCCGGCTCGTTGGGCTGCGGCGAACCTGGTTCGCGGGACGGAGGGTGTTACAATGTAGGAGAATATAAACTGGCTGCTGAGTTTCAACCTTAAATTCTACTTTAAGGAGGAGGGGATTTGTGACCAATTACCTATGATCCTCAAACCACTGGTACAAGATAGAGTATGTGCTAGCTTTAAATTTTGTGATATATGGACATTAGATCAACAATTTCCTAACATTCTGGCTGAAATCTGGGACAAAGATGTTGGGAAAAATATCATAGATTTTGATGATGATGTATTTAGAATGTAATAGGGACTTTAGGTCTCCCCCAATATTCAATGTAATTTTTCTTTTTAGAAATATTGTTAAAACCAAGTTCTTGAGATTTCCAATAAGGTTATGATATTTCTTTAAGCGTTTTGATGCCTGAAGACTTAATCAAATTCGGTGATATGGAAATTGGATATCTTGATCGGAAATGCTAGAGACAAGTAAGGATTTCTCAAGAAGATGAAAATCATCTGATCCGGAAGACTACATAAGAACCGGATGTCTCGCTACAACCCGCTGAAGGCTAAGTCACCCAAATCGGAAGACTAGCGCGGATCCCTTTCTCACCCGGAAGTCTGAGAATGACTCTTCCGAATTTGTTAGCTAAGAACCAGATGCCTCAAGGAAGACCGGAATTCTCAAAAAGCGGACAAGTAAGAAAAGACTTAGAAGATTATCTAAGTCTTGAATGAAGAAATTCTACCCGTTGGTAAGGAAAAATCAATCTCTTGATTTTCAACGGCTAGATTGAAGGTAATTATGCTGATTCAAGAACAAATGACTCGAAGACGAAGTCTGAACCTCTAAGAATCGAAGAACCTGTCCAGAATTCCTAAACAAGCACTAGAAGACAAACAGAGTAAAGTTCTACAGTCCAGAATACTTGAACAGCAGCTAGAAGACGGACTCTATGGAAAAAGGAATCTCCCCTTTAACAAATGGGTATGTCCAAACACCCATTCCAATGAGGAATCTTCAAATCACAATCTTCATTCAAAATTGAAGCCAGCAAATGCAACAGATAGTCTATTATGATTCAACGAATAGATTATCCAATCCAGCTATAAATAGCATCCTTGGAAGACTGGAGAAAATAATGAGATACAACAACACAACAAAGCAATCTCTAACAACAAAGCTATCTCATTCACAGTTAGCCCAAAAAGCTTGATAAAGAGAGATTTCTAAACTCCTTATCCAGAAGCAAACTTCTCCCTTCCAAAGAGCTATAGTGTAAAGACTTGAAGGTTTCCTTGCCTCAAGCACCACACCACGTTGAAGGATATTACTTTTGATCAAACTTATTGATTAAAAGGGGGTAGGTCAACTCTCTTACAAGTTGATCTTGCAAGTCCTATTGTTCGGATCTTGCAGTTGTTGAAGAAGCTTGACCTTCGAAGGAACAACAAAGCCAACACGAGTGCAGTAGCAACACTGGTCTTGTGAAGATATACCGTGCAGAAATTCACAAAAGTGTAATTGTTGGTTCATTATTCAACAACCAACTGCATAGTGGATTTTGAGGACGTAGAAGGATTACCCCACCTTCGAACCTCGTTAAAGTTTGCGTGTCTCTCTCTTTTATCTTTATTCTTACTTGCAATTATATTAGCTGTGAAAACTAACCCATCCATATTGATTACTGCTCACTCTACCCACCAAATTCCGCACACAATCTAAAGTTCACAAGGACTCTAGATTAACACTCATTTTCACGTTTTCAAAAGAAACGAAAAAGATTTTTAAATCTGTAACAAAGTCTATTTACCCCCCCTCTAGACTTTGTATTTCACCACTTTGGGACCACCAATTGGTATCGGAGCCAGGTTCTCACTATCTACGTTTAGATTAACGAGAAGCGATCATAATGGTGAACAATATGGATCACGGTTTGCCCAAGTTTTCTCTCTTAGGTTATGATGATTGGAAGATCATGATGGAAGCACATCTCTACGCTCTACATGACTGCATGTGGATGGTGCTTGAGGATGGACCCTTGAAAATCCAAATGGAGAATTCTGAGAGGAATCCAGCAACTCCTGATGTAATCCAGTACATTCCAAAGCCCAAGGAAAAATGGGATGATAGAGATTGTAAAAAGCACAATCTGGACAACGTCGCCAAAGCAGCCATCTTCAAGGCACTTGATCCCATCACCTTCTCCAAAATCAAGCATCTCAAGACTGCCATGGAAATATGGCAAGGTCTTGGGAAGCTATGTGAAGGATCAGAGGACTTGAGAAAGCAGAAGATAGAAGTCCTACTTGAGAAGTTCAAAGGCTTCAAAATGCTTCCCGGAGAATCATTTGATATGTTGGATGAAAGGTTCCACAAAATCTTGAATGATCTTGCCTCACTTAACCACGTTCTTTCTCCCAAAGAAAAGAATGTAAGGTTGCTGAGATCACTCCCAACTGAGTGGTACACCAAAGCCACAGCCATGGAAGAAGGAAGAAACCTGGAAAACTACACTGTTCAAGGTCTCCTTGATGAACTCAGAACCTATGAGCACGAGCTGAAAAAGAAGAAGGAAGAACAAGTCACTCCCTTCCCCACGGCATTGATGACAACTTCAAGAATTCCATCAAGTGAAGGGACATGCACAAGAAACTGTGACACACCTTCCTC